TCTACTGACTGAGCCAGCCAGGTGCCCCCTAAATTGAACCATCTTCATCACAAAAGGGATTTACTAAAGAGAAGCCACGATAATCTAAAAGGAAAACAATCAAGTCTAGGTAGTTATTGTTCTGTCTCTCATCTCTGGTCTTCTCAGCATGTCAACTTCCTTTTCTCCTCCTGCAGATCCGTTAATTACAAGAGAGGGAAGGAGCAAATCCTGCACTCAGAATCACACAGAGTTAGGAGCACTCCATGAAGCTATGTCACAGCAGAGTGTTAGATCAAGGCCCAAAGACCGAGGAGTCCCAGCAGCTCTGTCTGAAGATAAAAGAATGTGACACAACTGTTAAGTAGTTAGCTGTCAAGCTATCTCAAGAAGTAGAAGCAACTGAGGAAGGCAGCTCTCCCCCAGTTCCAAGGAACTTCAGGCGCTGTTCTCACCTCTCTGCCCAAAGATGGATGAAAGAGTTTCTTTCTTCATTTGGGGAACCAGAGCCTCATACCCACAGAGGCCCAAAAGCCCTTCTGCCAATCCCCTTGCATGGCTACTCCTCTTTACAGAACATATAGTCACCCTGCTCTGACTCTCTGTCTTATTTATTTATTTATTTTTAAAAAGATTTTATTTATTTATTTATTTATTTGACAGAGAGAGAGACACAGCGAAAGAGGGAGCACAAGCAGGGGGAGCAGGAGCAGGAGAAGCAGGCTTCCCGCCGAGCAGGGAGCCCGATGTGAGTCAATCCCAGGACCCTGGGATCAGGACCTGAGCCGAAGGCAGACACTTAACGACTGAGCCACCCAGGCGCGCCCCCCCCCCTCTTATTTAGCCAGATTAGTCAAATTCTCTTATCCTACTGTAACGAAAAGGGCTCCTTTCTTTTTATTCAAAGGCATATGAAGGGAGAACCCACATTTGAGTTTGCCCCAGGATCCAATTTTACAACACTGAGGTTTCTCCAATGGTTACAATAACTAGTTGTAAAACATAATGAAAGAGTAAAAAAAAAATTTTTTTTTAAGATTTTATTTATTTGACAGAGAGACACAGTGAGAGAGGGAACACAGCAGGGGGAGTGGGAGATGGAGAAGCAGGCTTCCTGCGGAGCAGGGAGCCGGATGCAGGGCTCTATTCCAGGACCCTGGGATCATGACCTGAGCCCAAGGCAGACGCTTAACGACTGAGCCACCCAGGCGCCCCAAAAAACTTTTTTTTTTAAACAATAGCCACCAATCTTCAGGGAGAAGACTGATTCTGAATTCCGGGAAAATCAGTTCTCCTCTCTCTCTTCTCTCTCTCTTCCAGGGAGGATCAGTTCTCTCACCTCTTCTGATCCTGATGGAGCTAGATGGCATTTCACTCGTCTCACAGGGTCTGGTGAAAACACTTTGACCAATTTCTGGTGCAGACCATTTACATAATGTATATGGCACAGAGCAAAACTAAAATGCAGGGTTCCCTGTGCAAAAGTTACTATGAATTTTAAAAATGGCAGTAGCAGAGCATTAAACCAAATGTGGGACTTTTCTAAGCACAGGGCCCTGAACTGTACACAGTTTGCCCCAGAAGCAGGTCCTGTTCTGTGCTCCGCTCTTGAAACACAGGTGCTCTCTAACAGGCCAGGGTCCGAGCAGGAAACAACCATCTTGCCCCAAAGCATCCCAGGCCAGAGAGATGCAACTTTCTCTCCAACACGTCTTCTACATCCATCCTTCCCCCAGTTCTTTCAGACATCTTATGTAACTGGAAGACACTTAGGAGGTTTTCCTAGAATAAACAGTCTGCTTAAAGACTAGTAAAATATTCATTCTTGCCAGATAGAAATTACTTGCAGCTTTCACAGGAATTTTTAATTCCTTCAGCTGCAACCCATTAAGGTTTACAAAACTCAGCATCTGAATTTCGGCCTAAATTCTCTGAACAAAGCTGAGGGGCCCTCAAGCCCACAGGCCTCAATGGGAAACAGCAACATTGGCTTGCTCCTGCCCCTGAAAAAGCAAGTTATTATTGTATTTTGTGTATATGTACTTGACCACAATGTTGAACTCTCCAGAGACTTTTAATTAATTCTTGTAGGCTTTCCAGGTATGCAACCAAATCATCACAAATAATGCCATTTGCTTTCTCCTTTTGATTTGTCAAAGCTCATTCTGTCTCATCTTTTCATATTTGTTATAATGCAGTTTCTTTTAAAACTAGCTGACGGATGAATCCTGTTTTGTGGGAAACTAGAAAATTTGAGAATACAGCTTATCTAGGGAAATAAATGCCTAGGAACAATGAAGAAAATTGGGGAAAAAGAAGGATTAATTAGGAGGGATTGCCATGCCAGATATCAAAATATCCTATTGAATCATGGAAATTAAAATGATGATACATCCTGACAAAAATAGATCTTCAGAAGAAAACAAAATGTTCAAACTAAATTTGTACATATTTAGTATACAAGAAAGTAGAATTTCAAATCAGTAAAGAAGTGATAGATTATTTAGTAAATGGTGTTTCAAAAACTAAAAATGAGGATTAAGAATATAACCATAATTGTAACTAAAGAATTACAAGAAAATATTTTATTATTTATTTATTTATTTATTTATTTTTTAAGTATTCTCTACCCCAATTTGGGGGCTTGAACTCCCAATTCTGACGTCAAGACTCACATGCTCTACTGACTGAGCCAGCTCAGTGCTGCTCAGAACACGTTTCAATAATCTTGGGACATAGAAGGCCATTCTAAGCATGAGTCAAATCCAGGAACCCATACAGAAAAAGATTGCTAAAAATGTCTATTTAGGGAGGCGCCTGGGTGGCTCAGCTGGTTAAGTGTTCGACTTTTGATTTCAGCTCAGGTCATAGGATCGAGAGCAGTGTCGGGCTCCACACTCAGTGGGGAGTCAGCTTGAGATTCTCTCTCTCTCCCTCTCCCTCTGCCCCCACCCCACCAAGTACAAATGCTCTATCTCTCTAAGATAAATAAATAAATCTTTCAATTGAAAAAAGATGCCTATGTAGGGGACACCTGCATGGTTCAGTCAGGTAAGTGTCCGACTCTTTTTTTTTTTAAGATTTTTATTTATTTATTTATTTGACAGAGAGAGACAGCAAGAGAGGGAACATAGCAGGGGGAGTGGGAGAGGGAGAAGCAGGCTTCCCATTGAGCAGAGAGCCCGACACGGGGCTCGATCCCAAGACCCTGGGATCATGACCTGAGCCAAAGGTAGACGCTTAATGACTGAGCCACCCAGGCGCCCCAGTGTCTGACTCTTGATTTCAGCTCAGGTCTCCATCTTGGGGTTGTGAGTTCATGACCAGTGTGGAGCTTACTTCAAAAAAAAAAGTTAGGAAAAAAAAAATGCCTATTTAACAATCTAATGCTCTGTAGAGAGTAAATGATCACAAAGTTGAAAGGAAAGATATTTGTAAAATATAAAACAAAGTGTCTTTATATAAAATATTAAAAGTTTCTACAAATTATTATTAAAAAGATAAAAATCCAATAGAAAAATAAGCAAAGAATTTGTTAAGTCATGAAAAAAATAGTCTCCAATGATCATATGAAAAGTACTTACCCTCATCAATAATGTATCAGTTGGCTTATTAGATATGAAAGAGTTTAAAAGTTTAACCATTCTCGGTTCTGGTGAGGAAACACACTTGGGTACAACCTATTTAAAGGACAGTAGGTATTATCAATCAAATTAAAAGTGCATATACCCTTTGACCCAGTGATTCTACTTCCAGAAAGTCATATAACAGAAAGACAGATGAGTGTTTAAAAATATATTCATCTCATCTTTGTGGTAAATGATCTAATTGTTCAAAATTGGGTACTGGGGACACCTGGGTGGCTCAGTCAGTTAAGCATCTGCCTTCGGCTCAGGTCATGATCCCAGGGTCCTGGGATGGAGTTCCGCATCGGGCTCTTTGCATATTGAGGAGACTGCTTCTCCCTCTGCCTGCCCCTCTCCCTGCTTGTGTGCATACCCGCTCTCTCTCTCTGACAAATAAACAAATAAAATATTTTAAAAAATACACAAAATTGGGTACTAGTTGGATAAATTGTGGAATATCCATGTAACCCATATAACTTAACATAGAAAAAGAATGAATCAAATCTGTATGTGCTCACATGGGGAAAGATGTCCGTAAGTACATTGAGAAATGAACGAAGCAAGCTGAAGAATGGAACAGATAGTAAGATTCCATTTTGTTAAGAACAAGATGTGCTCAAAGGTCAAGGAAATCACCTTCTCTAGCTCCCAGTGCTAAACCACTTTTTATGCCCTTACCCTGAATTTTTTTTCTTTAGAGTATGTATGCTCATTGGACATTGCCTTTGTTTATTGTTTGTAGAAAGCTGCATGTGTGCAAGGACTTTATTTGCTCAATGCTCTATCCTCACTTTTTAAAACATTTTAGGCGCTCCATAAATAATACCTGAAAAAAATGAATGGAAGCCCAGAAACATACACACATATCTATTTCAAAAAATTATATACGGTTCAAAGAATGTGGATTTAAGGGAATAAAATTTCCATGATCTGCCACTAAATGCTAAAATATCCTAAAATAATTAATGTTTGTATAAACTTTTTCCAGTAGACAAAGTAGCTTTAGTTACATAGTGTCATTTGGTCCTTAACCATCCCTATGAAATATGTAAATATAGAAATAATTAATATATTTTTGCACTATATGGTTTACTAAAGTCAGTCTTTCAATTTATGGCCCCAATCTTGCTCAATTCATTCCTTTCTATTTTGCTTTCCGGACTACTTCCTGAACACTGCACAGTTTTGTTCATAGTTATGTATATATGCATATATATTTCCCTCATTTGAGAATGTTTCTCCATGCCTCTTCACGCAGTATACCTGTACTCATCCTTCAAAAGCCTGTTCATGTGACACAACCGGCCTCACTCCTCTTTCTCCAACTGCAGAACTACACAGGAAACCAGACCTACCACCTACCCACCCAGTGCTTACCCCAAAATTTACCCCAGAAGCCCCGCAGGCCGGACTGGCTCCGCCCAGGCAGGAGGACGCGGGGTTCGAAGTCCCCGCCCCTTCCGAGGAGTTTCCCAAAACCCAGCGCGGCAGTTCTCAGCCGCGCTAAGATGGCGACTCCCATGCATCGGCTCATAGCTCGGAGACAAGCGTAAGTGAGGGCCCGAGTAGGGCCGCGGGGAGGGCTGGGGGCGGGGAGAGGCACGTCAGCCGGCGGGTGAGCCCCGGCCGGGGTGCGGGGCAGCTGTCGGATCTTCTGTGCGGACGGGCGGAGGGTGGTCGTTTCTCACTTGTTGCCGCTCCACAGGGGCTCCGCCCGGGTGATAAGTTTGGTGTCCACGGGCTAGTGATTGCGTGGAAGACGACTGCGTAAGGTCCACGGGGCGGGACCTAGGTTGTGGGGTGGGTGTGGGGGGGTCTGAAGAGAGCTTAGCGTTCGCTTTCCGCACAGGGGACGCCCAGGAGTTGGGCACTAAGTGGCGTATGCCCCTTTGCCCACCCAGCCGCTCACCCTTCGGGTGGCCGGGGGAAGCCTGAAGCCCTGATCCGACGCCTTCCACTCTCACCGACGTACACCTTCAGCTCCCTATGCGGTCTGCAGCCCAGCTGGCTTTTCCTGCCCCCTTCCTATCGCCTTCCCTAGGAACAGCCTGACTACAACGCCGATTTTCCTCCCAAGTTATTTTCTCTCTGCCATTCATTCTCTTCCATAAATAATAACTTATTCATTATCTGTGGCTCTCTGCCAGAATTTGGGTATAAAGAAAAAGAGGTGTTCAAGACAAGAATTCCTGCTTTCAGGAAACTTACATTCCATCGGTAAAGAGTCGATAAGCTAAACATTTTAAGTGAATAGAGTTGGTGTTAAGAGCTTTGAAGGAAATAAGAGGTGATGGCAAGAAAGGCCCAGGTTAGATTGGTTGGACTGGAAAGACATCTCTGAAGTGGTGGCATTTGAACAGAGATTGAAAGTGTGAGAAAAGAGCCAGTGGTGAGAGGATTTGGGGAAAGAGCATCAGACAGTGACATAATTGCTTTCAGACAGGAAAGAACTTTAGTTTTTTGGGGTTTTTTTTTTAAGGGGGGGAGGGGAGAGAGAATCTTAAACAGGCTACACAGCCAGTTTGGAGCACGTATGGGGCTTGATCCCCAACCCTGAGATCATGACCTCAGCCGAAATCGGGAGTCCTCCGCACAACTGACTGAGCCACCTAGGCTTCCCAAGAACTTTAGTTTTTAAGAACTGAAAGTTGGCTATTGTGGCTAGTGACCAAGAGAGTGGCACAAGAGGTTTGCCATGGATGCAGATAGCATCCTACATGCCCCTTTCCTGTAAAGCGTTTTTTTCTTCTACCAACCTGCACACCCGAAAACCTCCATTTTCCCATTCTTTTAGCATTTGATGCTGTTCCCATTTGCAAGTCCATAATACATCACTCATAGTCTGCTTGCATATATATATATGTATGTTTCTTTTTACATTTCTGTTTTTTATTCTTTTTTGTTGTCTTTCCTTCTCTTCTTTCCTTCGGATTCTACCTCTCACACCTGATGAAAAAGTTCCTTGAGCGTCAGGTTAAAGACCTAGGGAGTCAGGGTAGTATGCCTGGTGGAGGAGAGGCTTGAAAGTGAGACAATTCTGAAGTCAAGAATGGAGTGAATATAATACATAATAGGTGTGCTAAATTATGTCACCAGAGTCTCTAACTCTCAGGTTTGCTCTTTTGGGTGTTAGTTCCACACTTGGATAGGTTAGGTTCATTCCACTGGTCCCAAGATGTTTGTACTATTTTTTGGTCCTTTATATCCTCTCACCTTCAACTTGATGGCATCTCATATGTGTAGATTGAATCATGTCTATGGGACTCTGATGCTCTGATTGGCAGATTGCGTTCTTTTACTAGCACAATTGGATGGATCTCTATAAACCGATGATGAGCTAGGTAGGTAGGTTAGATAGATAATAAATGCTAGGATGGCAAAACCAAGCAATGTCCACTTAAATATGAAGTGAAAGACTTTCAGCAATCTAAAGAATATTGCTATTTCTCATCTCAGAAGTATCAGAAAGTTCAACAAATGTTGTGGGTTGTTTTTTTTTTTTAAGATTTTATTTATTTATTTGACAGAGATACAGCAAGAGAGGATACACAAGCAGGGGGAGTGGGAGAGGGAGAAGCAGGCTTCCTGCAAAGCAGGGAGCCTGATGGCTGGGCTCCATCCCAGGACCCTGGGATCATGACCCGAGCGGAAGGCAGACGCTTAATGATTGAGCCACCCGGGCAGCCCCAAACGTTGTTTTTCTATGGAATGCCTATATTTGCTACATGAGCTACACAGAAGTAAAAGAAATCTTTCCTTTAGGAGCTCCTGGTCTTGTTGGCAAGAAAACTCCTGGGTGGCTCAGTCGTTAAGCGTCTGCCTTCGGCTCAGGTCGTGATCCCAGGGTCTTAGGATCGAGCCCCGCATCGGTCTCCCTGCTCGGCAGGAAGCCTGCTTCTCCTTCTCCCACTCCCCCTGCTTGTGTTCCCTCTCTCGCTGTGTCTCTGTCAATTAAATAAATAAAATCTTTAAAAAAAAAAAGGAAAAGAAAGAAAACAAATGGTGTATAATAAAAGTGGTCATGGTATACAGAGTTAAGTCCTGCGGGGCGCGGTGGCGCGCGCCTGTAGTCCCAGCTACTCGGGAGACTGAGGCAGGAGGATCGCTTGAGCCCAGGAGTTCTGGGCTGTAGGGCGTTATGCCGATCCGGTGTCTGCACTAAGTTCGGCATCAATATAGTGACCTCCCGGGAGCGGGGGGCCACCAGGTTGCCTAAGGAGGGGTGAACCGGCCCAGGTTGGAAACGGAGCAGGTCAGAGTAAGTCCTCAGGGAGTTGGAGAAGGAGACTTTTAGAGGTTAGGGGAGTCTCGTAGAGTTTGGGGAATCTTTTGGGGCGGGGGAAGCAGAAGAGGAACTATTACTTTTCATTTTATGTTCATCACTAAGTTTTAGTTTTATTTATAAAAACTATATATATTTCTTCCCTAATAAGTTTTAAACTATTTTTAAGTTAGTTATGAGAAGTGAGAAAGTACTGTTGGCATTCTTTTTAGAGTCTTTGGACTAATCGAGGAAAGAGGAAATAAAAGAGAAAAAAGAGAGAGAGCCTAAATTTGAACTTCCTATTTAGCCGATCTTTCAGGGAGTTAACTTTGTATCAATTGAAATGAACTTATTTTCCATTTGTTAATTGTAATTACATCTACTTATATGTAAGTAGATTGTAGAATCTTGGCACTGTGTGGGTCATTTCTTCTGCTAAACCTTCCACTAGATTCTTCACCATCCAGGGGAATTATCTAACTTTGGCTTGAGGACCTCCAGGAAGGACATACTTACCTTCTGAAGTAGCCTGTTACATTTTTCAAATCTGTCAAAAGTTTACATTGAACTGAAAGGAAAATAATATTTATGAAGCTAAACCCTAATCCCTTCTAACTTCCTAGCTTTGGACCTGAACTGTGATTTCAGTCAATTAAAAACCCTAGGTGTTATCCACTTGAATTACCATCAAGTCAAACTTCCCCTGTCTTGGTACTGGTATTGATTTTCTGGACTTAAAGAGTCAGACTTACATTTACCCTTGTTGAATTTCATTTTGTTAGATTTGACACTGAGTTCTAGCTTGTCAAGACATTTTGGGTCCTGATTTGGTTATCCTTTGTATTAGCCCTCCCTCTTAGCTTTGGGTCAGTTGCAGGTTAGATAAATAGGCACATCTGTGTCCTCCAAGTCATTTATAAAATGGTGAACAAATCCAAACTGAGGACCAAGCCCTCAGGCCATCACTGGATACCTCTCTATACATTTACTTCAACCCATTAAACAGTAGTCTGTTGTGGGGCACCTGGGTGGCTCAGTTAGTTAAGCAACTGCCTTTGACTCAGGTCATGATCCCAGGGTCCTAGGATCAAGCCCCGAGTTGGGCTCCCTGCTCAGCAGGAGGCCTGCTTCTCTCTCTCTGCCTGCAGCTCTCCCTGCTTGTGCTCTCTCTTGTCTGTCAAATAAATAAATAAAATCTTAAAAAACAAACCAAAAAAACAGTAGTCTTTTGTCCATGATGTTCAACTGATCTACCTAATTGTTCTGTTTTGTTCACAAGGATATTGTAAGAGACTTTCCAATATGCCTTATTGAAATACAAATTCCCAAAAGCCATTAAGAGTATTAATGTGTAATGATTTGATACTTAGTGATCAGGGCTTTTATTTCTGAATGGATTTAATAAATCCAGCCAGAATTTTGCCTAGGATGAATGTCAAGTTCACTGGTCTAGTTTGTGGAATCTACCTATCTCCCCACTTTGAAAATCAAAACTGCATTTGCCTACTTCTAGTCTTTCAGCACCACTCCTGTTTGCCAGGGTCTCTCAGATTACCAGCAGCAGTATAGTCAACTCACCTGGAAAATCTCTGGTATGTTGGGGAGCAGTCACTTGGGCCATTGTGACTTAAACACATTCAGAGTGGATAAAAGCACTCTTACACACCCCTCACTATCTTGAGGTTCAGTTCTGCTCTTCTCATTCTGCATATCATTGTGTTTGAGTGAAGACTGAAGCAAAATAAAAATAATCCTGCTTGTACTCTCAGCCTATAACTTAACATTGGTGATGTATTCGCCCAGCACCCCAAATAATGAGCCTCTCCCTTTTTTTTTTTTTAAGATTTTATTTATTTATTTGAGAGAGAGAGTGAGAGAGAGAAAGAGCACAAGAAGGGGGAGCGGGAGAGGGAGAAGCAGACTCCCTGCTGAGCAGGGAGCCCAATGCGGGACTCGATCCCGGGACTCCAGGATCGTGACCTGAGCCGAAGGCAGTTGCTTAACCAACTGAGCCACCCAGGCGCCCGAGCCTCTCCCTTTTTTTGGTTCTTTGTACTTTAAATGTAACTAAAACATAAAACAATTTTTGTTGTTCTTGATACTTTTCACAAGCCTCAGCTTATTTTGGTAGGGTATTTATTTATATTAGGCTTAGATACTAATTTTACAGGCCTTTAGCGCTCTCCTATATTCCTTAGTTGTATGTTCCTTTGAAAAATATCTTTTACAACTTGTTTTATGACTTCACATGCAGTCTGTGTTCATTGTAGGCAAGTTAGAGAATA